TTTTTTTTAAAAAAAAAAAAAAAACAAACCACAAAAAAACACAAAAAAACCTCCAACCACACACATGCAGAAGATAAATACCAATCAATCAAGTGCTTCTTCACAACTACACTGCAAAACGGGGAGCAGAAACAGGGCAGATTTCCAGGCAACTGGAAAACTGCACTGCCAAAACCTATGTCAGGGAATTCAAGTGAAAAACTAACGTATTATTTTTAATTTGCAATCTACCGAAACGTATATACGTACATACTCTTAAATAGTAAAAACGCAAAGAAATATCATTGCCGTATCGGTGTAACAGCAAGTTTGTACATATTGAGGCGGTATTATGAATTAATTTGATAATCTATTCTAACATTTCAAGATTAAAATGCCATTTCTTTTACCTGTAGTGCCACTAGTAAAACAGACAATTGATAGATCTTCTGGTCGAGGAGGCTAGAAATACACAAGGAGAATAAGAAAATCACATCAGTCAAATGCAGGAGGGTCACTGGCAGACCGTTGTCACTGTATAAACCTAAAGATCAAACCAGTTATATTTCAGCTCTGCCATAAAAAGCTTTCATTCCCCTTGGCAGGTATAAAAGACCATCATAAAACTCTTTTTTATCGGGTTTCTTCAGTTGATGCAGACTCTGCTCCTCCCTAAATGCTTTGCTCCAGCTGCATTAAGGGCACGCTTTAGTGCAAGCAGACTTTGATGGAGTATTTGTCTTTCAAAAACACCATCTATACCCGTAGGTGTGGGGGAAAATTTGAGATAATTTACTGAGTTCCAGATAAATTCTGGAAATGTCTGATTATCCACAATGGGGCAACTTTCCCAAGCTGCCAATTTCTCCCCTTTCCAGTACTATCTCTGTACTCTCAGCACCACTGCATGTCTATGCTATTTTGGGTCACAAATAGAATAAATAAGCAGCCCCCCCCCAAAAATCAGAGGCTGCTTCGGAAAGTTTTGCATGAGTATGAACAGCCAGTGAAAAACATCAATGCAATTTTCAAAATATATCCCGGAGAGGTACTGCCAAGTTGTGTTTCTGAGCTCTAGAAACCCCAACAGAAAGCCAAGGGGTGCAAACACATTCCCCCCAGTGCCACCTGGGTGAGGTAGTGGAATTAGTGTGGCTTAACAACGGCACTTAATTACTGTCCCGTGAACACGTTCAGGATGGATGGACTATCTCAGTGAAGTGGCCCAGGCAGAGGGTATGAAGCAAACACCCCACGTGTCCAGTGGATGGTATCGCCAGTCCCGGGCTCCTCCACTGCCTCCCCCGTGGCGAGGGTCGCCAGGCACTGCCCCAAAAACCACACGGGCTTCCTTCTGCCCAGAGCAAACCCTCCCCTCTCTTGCCGGTGAAATAAGTGTAACACAGCCAGCTGCAATTCTAAGTGGGAAAAGCAGCGTGCCAACACTCACCACAGGCACGTGTCGACTCTCACGGCCACAGTCCTGAAAGAGATTAAAGCAACAAAAATGATTCCCACTTTCATTCCTGCGGTGTAACCCACTTGCTAATAATCTGCAAACCACTATGGAAGAGTCTGATATAGAGCCAAAAAATCTGTGGCTAACACTTAGGTCATCTGTCCTATCCAAAGTTTCTTGCGTTAACTGCAATGCCATCCTTGGAGCTCAAGTGGTGCTTGAGTTGGTTGGGCTGGATCCAGGCTGTTTCATAAAAGTGTAAGGCTGTAGGCTTACACGTAGGAGGACAGTGTCTCGAACAGCAACCCCCCTTCCCAGGCTTAAATAGCAGCTGAGATTATATTTGAGCAGGCAGGCTTGAAACGTTGGCTCCCCTACCAACAAGGAATAACAGAGAGGCAACTGCACTGAGCATCAGCATTATCAGCCACAAGCTGCTTTTTTGTGCTATTTCCAGACACTGAATCTGCCCTCCAGCTCACAAGTCTCTGCATATTTTAACTGTCTTTTTTACAGAAACTACAAAATAGAGTAAAAGGAGAGGGGGAGCAAACTTACCTCCACCTCCTGCATGGTCTGGATGCGAACTCCACAGTGCCTCCCTCTCTCCGTCAGCTCCTTCTCAAACGGGTCCATCAGGATGATGGAGCTCAGACCCGGCGTTTCTCTCCTCTCCACGTGGTCGAGGAGTATTCTGGCTTTTTCAGGTTTGTCACAAATGACCGTGGAAATGTCAGCTGGAAGAAAAGCAGCCAAACGAGCCGTCTACAGCGAATCTTTTTTAATGCAAGACTGGCTACTGGCTCCTAACTAGCATTACCGGTTCTGATATTCACTTCAGGCTAACATCAGAAATCCTAGAATCTAACATACATTTCTCTTAGAAAATTACTGCAATTTCAGCCAACCTAAATGAATGCCGAAGCTGTAGCTGACATCTACAATTATTCTGGGATTCGGTTCAAAACTACTAAAATTGCTCACCATGTGGGCTAAAAAATCTAGGAGGCAAAATACGAAGCAGCAGAGGAGTGGGTGGCCGTGGAGTAATTCCTGCAGCCAAAGCAGCCCCATCCACGGCTGTGCACGACCGGGCACGTGGGAAATGCAGCACGGGGACAGGCAGCTCCCCAGAAACCTCTCTAAGTGACTTCAAGACACTCAGCGAGTGAAATCACCCATCTTTTGGAAAGCAGAAAACAAACCATTCTGAGCAACAAAACCGGTCTCTGAGAATTTTGGTGTTACCTGTGTTGACGATGTAACGAATGGCTCCAGGGCCTAAGGTGTCGTAGAGGGGAACCACCACCATGGAGTAGGTGTAGCAAGCCAGCTCGGAAATGATCCACTGCAGGAGGACGTTGAAGCATGAAGGTGAGAAAGGGGCCGTGGGAGCAGATTTAACGCGCTTGAGAATGTGCTTCATGTATAAAGCAAGCTCACAAGTCAGGAGCGTTATTAGCATGGCATCAGTCTGAACTTAAATTCTCACCTCTGGACGGTTTTGAGCGAAGACACCGATGAACTGCTTCGTGGATGGCTTGCAGCCCTGCTGAAGAAGGCCTGAACCCAGAGCTTCTGCTCTTTCAGCCACCTGGAATTTGCAGAGGAAAAAAAAATACATAAAAAAGGAGGAAAATAAGCAATATCAAACTAGGTGAAGGCTTAATTTACGCTCTCAAATTATTGTATTTACTTTCTAAAAGCCCCGTTTTTTACATTATCACAAGCCATCAGTAGTTGACCGGCAGTTGACCTCTGGTTGGCAATACCCTGTGTCTCTGAGCGTGTCAATCCACTGTCAGGAGTGAGATAACGGCGCTGAGCCAACCCGCACAAGCCAACACACCTATATAATTCCATGATTCAATGATAAAGCCGGGACGTGCCCAGCTGGGGAAACCACGAGCCCTCGCACGGCGCGTTAGCCACCTCCCGGGCTAGTGTGTGTGTGTGTGTGTGTGTGTGTGTGTCACCAGCAGGCGCCGTGACACCCCTTCTCCTGCCGAGCAGGGGCAGAGGGCTCGGCGGGGGTGTCGATCCAGCTCACCTCCTTGTAGGACAACCACTGGTAGGGCTGCTTGGGCTTCCTGAACCCCAGGCAGGGGCCGTTTTCTGGAAGACACAAGCAGAGAGAACGGAGTTACGAGGGCAGCGCCAGGCGTTAACGTGCTGCCCCCCACACTGGGGGATGCAGCAAAGCCCCCAAAGAGTAAATCCGTTGTTATGGGGGTTGGCTCTCGCTCCTGGGGCGGAGCTCACAGCCAGCTCCATCAAATCCAACACTCGAGTGCAGGTGATGGGAGACCACCGGCTGGTTCCTCCCAAGGAGTCACTTCAGTCCTCCTCCCTGAGCTGCAGAGGGGACAGCAGCAGTTTGCCCCAGAACAGCCTCATTAAAAGACATTTCTCCGAAGGTAGAGCAAGAGTTCGTGTCTGATGATGGCTTTCATCCCAAACACCGCCTTCCGCTACTTTCGCTACCTTTTGATTTAAACACTTCAAAGTGAAAACTGATATTTTTAGCACAGCTTGCTTTGAAAGAGGGTAAAATACACGACACGACACGACAGGAGGAATATTTGAAAAGTTTAATTAATTTGCTAACTGTACTTACCTGCACAAGACCCATCCCTCCATACCTACCGGGTCAGTTATTTACCCCTCTCCTGGGGGGTGGAATATTTGCAATTCCGCTGAAGCTTTTGGTGGTACCAAAAAGAATAATCTGACAATGAAATTGCTCTGTTCAACAAGGCAGGGCGACACGAGCAGCGGGCACAGAAATAGTTCTGACCAAGCACGAAGAGTCACTGTGGCTTTTTGGAGTGGGGAATGATGTCTCACGCGCGTGTGAGAGCTCTTTGATGGTACCGTTGATCATGGGGTAAGGGCGATAAAACTGATACTCCACACTCAGCTTTCCTAAGAGCTTTTGGCAGAGTCCCCTGCCCTGTTGTGGAATAAAAGGCAAGCGGATGGAAAAGGCAGCAACAAGCAGAAATAAATATCTGCGTTTGCAAGGGAGGAAGAGTTCCGTTGGGTTCCAAGTTCTATGCCGGGATCAGCCCCGTTTAATGTATTCATAAACATTCTGGAAATGAATAATGTATGATGAGCTTTGCTGATGCTGCAAAATTCAGGGTGTTAAGCTGTCTGCCAGTGGCACCAAAAAGATCTCGTGGCACCAAGAGACTGCACACTAAAATGGTGTTAAGGACAAAATAATGCATGTTGGAAATAGTAACCCTAATTATAACCCCCATGCTCCAACAGCAGCACCCGTGCTCTCGCTGGGTCTCCTCCTTCCTCGGCCTCCACTCCTTCAACTTCCCACTTGCTGGATCTTCCATTTCCCCGGCCTCTGCCCCTCAGGCCCCCAATTCTATCTGGGCCTCCATCTCTGGGTCTCCCTTCACTCTCTTGGCCCCCAATCTTTGGGCCCCCCGTTCTCTCAGATGTCCACCTGCTGGGCCTCCCACTCCGTGGTCCCCTCAATTCCTTCCCCCCTCCCACATCCTTCTGGCACCCCCGCTCTTTGGGCCGCTAAATTCATTTGATCTTCCACACTTTTGTGGATTCTTACGCTTTTGGGCCTCTTCACTTCTTTGGCCACCCACACGTTCTCCTCTTCCCACCCCTTTTCATCCTCCCACAATATTTTGGCCTCATACACTCTTTTGACCTTTCATACCTTTCTGGCCTCACACTCTCTGGGCCTCTACAGTCCTCAGCCCTCCTACAACCTTGGAGACTCTACAGTCCTTGGGCCTTTAAACTCTCAATGGGCCTCCCACACTTTTTCAGCCTCTACACCTCGCTGGCCTCCCACACCTCTTCAGCACCTCCACCTCGCTGGCCTCCAACACATTTCTCAGCCTCTACACTTCATTAGCCTCCCAAACCTTTTTCACCTTCCCACACCTTTATCAGCCACTACAACTCATCAGCTTCCACATCTTTATCGTCCTCAACACTCATTTGGCCTCCTACACCTTTTTCCACCTCTACGCTTGTTGGGCTTCCACACCTTTTGGGCCTCAACACTGAGGCCTCCCAGTCTTTGGCCTCAACACTTGTGGGTTCTCCCACTCTTCTTGATCCTTCCACACCTTTTTGGTCTCTAAACTCTTTTGGCCTCCCACACATAATAGTCCTCTATAGTTTTGGGGCCTCCCACGCTCTCTTAGGCTCTACACTCTCTGGACCTCTGCACTTTTTTGGCCTCCCAAACTCTTTCAGCCTCCCTCTCTCCTTCAGCAATCATATCTCCTTCAGTTCCCACGCTTTCTTTGCTTCTACACTCTTTGTGCCTCCAGCACCCTTAAGGCCTCCTACACTTTTTCAGTCTCTCCACTATTTGTACCTCCCCCATTCTTCCAGCGTCTCGCTCTCATGACTTCTACAGTTTTGTGGCTTCCCACATTCTGGTGGGCTCTGACGCTCCTTTGGTATTTGAGTCCAAACAGGCCTCTACACCATTTGAGCCCCACACATTTTTATGGGCTCCCACACTCTCTCAGCCTCTCCACTCTCTGAGCTCCCCTAAGCCTTTGAGCCTCTACATCATCTGGTCCTCCACCTCTGCCCCCCTCTGCTCCCAGGCCTCCTCGTCACCGTGCTCTCACCGGAGATGCTGAATCCCCTCCTGAAGACCTCGTACATGGTCCTGGCGTCGTCGTAGTAGTGCGTCAGCAGCTGCTGGCTGTCCCCAATCACCGACCGGCGTGCCCCATCCAGGCCCTGTGTGACACAACATGACACGACGTGACACAGTCATCAGCACTGCCAGACAGGCAGCAGATGGGGAAACCCTGAGCCATAAAGCAACATGCTCCTCACGTGCCGGAGAGACCTCTGCGACCACCCCCGTGTTCCTGCCCCAACACCCAAAGGTACGGGAGAGGTGGGACGTCCACCTCAGCTCCCCAGTAACACGGAGAACCACTCGCCCAGAGAGGAGCACTTGACCTGGCTCGTTGCCACGGGAGATGGGTTGATATTTCCCCAGGAAATTTGAGGAGGAATTATAAATCTGCAAGTAACGGAGTGGGGATGTGCTGGGGGGAGTGACTGCTCTGGGCTCCACAGGTCCCCAGGACAAGAACCTTCTCAAGGACATCTAGACCAGCACGAAGGACAGACTGAAGCAGAGACCCCAGTGCGTGGGTTCCGTAGGGGTGTTTTAGGAGTGGGCAAGGGGAGGCAGGCAGAGAGAGCGACCAAACCGGGACTGTGCTGTGAGCCAGAGGACCCCGTGCTAAAGCCCTAACCACGGGGGGAAACTGCCTTGGAAAATGTAAATTCCTCCCACCTTTTAAAAAGTTGTTGGAATTAAAGACAATAACGTTTCAGAGGGGACATCACGAAAAGCTTTAAAAATTCTCATCACGCTTTCAGACAGTAATTTAAGCGGAAACAATTTTCAGAAATATTTCTGCTCTTTAAAATGGAGCAGCTTCATTAAACTTTAAAACCTTTTGCGAGCATGAAAATTAATATCTCCTCAGCCTGTAAGCACGGATTCAGATCTACTTGTTCTTATTATTACAAAGTTTGAAGCAGCAAACACAGTACTGTGCCCAGTCAAGAAGTGCCAACCGATTTGATCTTATCAGCTGTTGCCTTTCGGTGGTTCCTCCCACGCAATGGCAGCTCCTGTAATTTTTGGTGGTGGATGGTTCAGTAAAGCTAAGAGTAAAATGTTACTGAAAATCTAAGAGAATAAATTAATGGGCTGTATTCTAGTTTTCCAGTTTACAGAAAAAGGTGAATTAAGGAGTGAAGTGATCCCTGGCACAGCGCGTTACATGACTGATTTCAGGATGAGGTTGGGACGCCCGCAAAACAAACAAAAGCCCCTCCTGGCATCCCCTGCGGTCGTTTCCAGGCACGCAAACCCCAGGTGAGACTCAGCCTCTCCCGCCGGGGTGCCCCTGGCCTCACCTCGACTTCCTCCGACTGCATCCGCAGGTCGCAGGGCGGCTTCACGGCCCGGGGCCGGCTGGCAAACCAGTAGGCAACGACGGCTGCGAAGGCACCGATGCCCACCAGTGCGGTGGCCGGCAGGTTGCGGAAAAACTGGCTGAGGTCATCGAACTCGGGGAGCCGCAGGCTCCGCAGGATTTCCTGAGCCTGCATCTTCTCCACGAGAGAAACGGCAAACTCTGCAAGAGCCAGAAGGACGCCGTGAGGTCACGCCGCGGGACGGGCACGGGCAACGCAGGGCTCTGCGGCTCGGGAAGGGAGAACGTGCTTTCCCCTGGTCAGCCATTGCAAATGCAGCGCTCTGCTCCCACCAACCACCTTAACTTGGGAAGAGCAGCGTCTGCGGAAGAGACAGGAGAGAGGAGGAGACATCCCCAGAAGGGCGAGCAGGAGCAGACAGCTCGCTCCTAAAACACGACTGAGCACAAACGTACGTTAGGCGACGCGGCTGCGGTTATCTGTAGCAGACAGATGCTGTGACAAGCTCTGGGATCCAGCTAGGACTGTACCCTCAGGGCTGCCAGGAGCTTGCTCGGCCTTCCCCGAGCAGGCTGGGGGCTGCGTGGTGGCCGCAGCCCTCGGCAGGGACAGGCAGCACAGCACCAGCTCCGGCCACAAGCCGTCAGCTCACATGGAGGGGGGCAAAGGCCACGTGCCTCTGTGTGCAAAACGCTGTGCGGACACGCTCCGAAACACCACCCGCTGCCTTCTGTGCCAGCTTCACGTTCTCAACTTCGAGTTCCTTATGATTTACATCAGGGTAGATTATAAGTGATTCAAGCCAAGGAAAGTTTCAGTTCTCACTTAAAAACAAGGGACTGCGGAGCAGGGATAAGGGTATGCCGGGGTATCAGGCTGAGAGCACGCCGCCGCAGGGCCCCCACCCTGCACACCTCCGCCAGACACAACGCCTCGGGGTGCCCCACGGGGGAGATGGGTGGCCCTCAGAAGGGAGAAGTGCCAGGGCATTCCCCCACGGGCAGCCCCGCAGGGCACAATCCTGGCACGAGAGGAGAAGGGCTGGAGCCTCGGCTCCTCAGACACAGTGGGGCTGCTGGGGACCCCCCCAGCCCCCACACCTGCTCCGACAGCACCGGATCTAGAAGCAAAAATCCTCTTTTCTCCTTTTCCGTAAAAAGAGGGCTGTGCGCGGAGGAGGCAGGCGAGGGGACAAGTTTCATGACACAGGACGGTAAGGCTCTGCCCTCCCCAGCTCACTCCCTTCCCACCCGCCAGCACGGCTGTGCGGGGAGCGCAGGGAGGGCAGCTCTCGGCTGTACGTACGGTCGCTCACGGAGTAAGAGCTACTGGCTGGGAAAGGAGAGGGCAAGCAGCCGATCGGGCATCTTTCCAACCACAGCCACTACAGGTTGCCTTACTTTTCTCCTTTGCGTATACGGAAACGGCCACTGGAAAGAGGAGCCGGCGCCCAGCTCGCTGCTCCTGGGCCACAAGGCGAGGGTGTCCTCAGGGGACTTGTGTCTGGGTGTTGAGGGCACAAGCAGCGTTTTAATTAACTCGTGTTTACAGTCACGGCCCAGTATCAACTCCCCGCCAGGGAGTCTCCACTATCGGCCAGTCCTGCAAGGGACAAGCCAAGCAGGTGCAGCAGAGGAGGGGATCCAAACAGTTAAGGTTTCCTCTTAAGCCCCACAGCTCTACTTAGCACTTTACCAGCGGTCAGGATCTTAAAGAAAAAGCTTTTCTGCTTTCCCCTTGTCCTCTGGCCTCACTCCAGCTTGCAGAGCTACCCAGTGACTAACCGGGGGGCTTTGCTGCCGTGGGGAGGCCTGAACTTCCCACACAAAGGCATCACTGATGCTAACACTCACCAGCTTTTTTCCTCCTGGGAACAGCGTCTGGGTTACGCCCGAGGTCAGGGCAACCCTCTCGCAGCCTTTTCCCCTGTTTGTGCCAAGTGAGCTCTGGAGGCCGGCGCAGGCCAGGCTGCAAACAGCAGGGCACCCCACACACACAACTCCGGAGGAGGTTTTTAAGTTTGGACAAGCAAATAAACACAGCGAACAATTAACCTCACCCCTCATCAGGCTAGAACATGGCGGGGGGCAGCAGGGAGCGGTGGCAGTGACACAGAGCCCACGTTCGGGGCCATCTCCCTCCCGTGGCCCAGCATCCCGCTGGATGGGTACAGTCGTAGCCGCATCCCAAGAGCTCCCAACCGCAACCAGCCCCTCCTAGAACGGTTGCAACGATCACAGCAAACGAAACAGCACCCGGATGGGGTAATTTTCTCTTGAGCATCTTTCCAGAAATCTCCACATCTGATAAAACACTGACGACGTGGCTGCAATGATGTTTGGATGAACTGAGATGGAGTGCTGATTTCTCCCCTCGATATTTCTCCCCATCAGGCTACGAAAAGCAACTTGACAAACACATTTTTCCTAGCCAACTACAAAGAGTGGGAGAGCTCAGTGAGGGAGATACACATACTGATAAAAGAGCTATTTGCGCAAAAGCATTTCAACAAGTCCCACTTAAAACTGTCTGCTCCCAGAAACACAGCCTCTCCCTCCAAAGGCAGCCGCCCAGTTTGCCACGGCTGCTGGTTTCTTAGAGTGAATGCTTGAGAATAACTCCCTCGACATCAGCCTGCGAGTTGGGTTTTGTATCCGCCTGCGCGGCCAAGCAGAAAGCTGGGAAGATGCTCGTGGCTGCGCTGCCGTGGGGGGATGCTTGGCCGCAGCCATGTGCTCCTGCCCTGCTCGGCTGCAGGTGTCACCCGGGGAGCAGCAGGGCCAGGCCCTTCTGTACGTCTGTCCAGGTATGGGGCATCTGTGGAGTCTGTAGCATCGTCAAAAGGATCGTGAGAGTCAAGGTTGCAATTTAAAAAAATAAATAAAAAGTATTGTGACAGATCCTATACAGCACGGGGACAAAAGTACTTCTGTTATACTATGGATAACAAAGAAAGTGTGATCACACCTTTACTGATTCTACAGCTCTCTGACATGTATCAGGTTTGACTTACATCAGTACCCAGGTTTTGAAGAATTTGCTCTAGAGACATGGGAAGCGAGCTTTTCATCTGTCGGAAAAGACACAATGCTTCAATACAGAACTAAGAATCACTTATAATTGCTGGGAGGTATTTGGCTTGAGGAGAGCGACGGGCACGGGGCTCCGTGGGTGTGCGTGGAACATCCTCCCCTGCCTGGGGTGGTGGCAGGGGCCCTGCGGACCATCGAGTGCCACGAGCAGGGCGCTGCTGGCAGCATCTGCCTCTGCAGCGAGGTGAAACGTCCTGCAGCAGCCAAAGTTACATGGAACCTACAGGGAAACCACTTAAACTGCACTTCATTCCGTCTGCTCCCAGGGGAAAAATCAGAACATTCATCTCAACCAAATGCTCACAGTACACTTGTGATTTCTGACCGCTCGTGCCACGTTCTGCTACCTTCTGCTAAATCCCAACCTGGGCTGTTATTTCCCACCAACCTGAAGTTTTTGCCACACAGTAGATCCTATCCCTGGAACAGGTGCCCGAATCCTTCATTCATAACCACATCAGCTGCATTAAATAAATAAGTATGACTGGAAGGTAGAAATTCACTTTTCCCTTGCTCAAGGGAAGCTGTTGTCCCAGGGAGGTCAGCACATTTCCATGGAGAACTTAGAGATTCCTGTGACCATGGAGTCTGCAAGGATTAATTTTTTTTTTTTTTTTAAATAAAAGCAAGTAATTCTTGTTAGTGACTCATTTTAAGTGTGCTGCAGGTCATCTCAGAGGATGCCACAGTGATGGAAATGTCAGCAGTGGGAAAATAATATCAGAAAATACATTTGAAAGCAGAAATCCACTTTGTTTTCTGCCCAGGTGCAAGAAGTGTGCTGGGATCCCCGGGAGAGTTAAGTAGAGGTGCTAGCGAGGAAAGGGGAAGGTTCACAGACTCACCTTGCTTATGGTCTCCTACTTTCGCTTAGTTATCAAATCTTCAATGAAGATTAAACATATCCATTGAGAACACGATCCCATCCTCATGAGTGACTTTACCCAGACAAACGAAGTTCCCAGCGCCTCTGAATGCTCTTATTCCACCTGGGACCTGTAACCCCAGTCACTGACCCCTGTTCCTGATCACATTTGATTTTTGAGCTCCAAAGCTCATCTGGCTTTTGCAACAGTTAATCTTGAGTTCTGCATCCCAAAGTGATTTGTGATGAGCCCGTACTTGATCTGTTCTGCTTGGGGCAGCAAACGTGCTTTGGGAAGGTGGCCAGGAAAGGGGCCCAGGTGTGTTTGGGAGGAGCAGTGCCGTTCAGACAGGGAAGAAACACCCCAGCACCCTCCTAGCCCGGGGGAGGCTGCTTCTCCCTCACCTGCAGAAACAGGGCTCAGGGCTGCCTGGGACAGAACCTGCTCTGACGAGTCGAGCTGAGCAGGTGAGCACCTCGCAGTCACGTGCTTTGTGAATATATTTTTCATGTGATCAGGAAAATAAATAATAATAATTAAAAAAAAAAAAATCCAGCACGGTTGGGCTGGGTTTCCCCATCAGCAAGGCAGCGTCACAGCCCCAGGCGCACCGCGAGCAGCCGCTGCCGTCCCCTGTGTCCGGAGCAGCAGTGGGATGCTCTCCGCACCCTTTCTCCAGCGGTTTTACCCCATTTCTGTGACCTGCAGCGAACCCACCACCCTGCCACGCTCTGTGCTCCCCATGAGCAAGCGGCCCTGGGAGCAAGCGAGCGAGCGCAGCGCCATGCCCGTGGCACACGGAAACGCTGACATTGCCATCACTTCCAAACGCTGGGTTCATAAAGGATTCCCGTGCCAGAGGAAAGAGAAACCACTATGGCAGGAGGAACAGAAGAAAGCGGGTTTGAGAAAGGGAGAAGTGCTGGTTACTTGTTCGGAGGAAACAGTTGGCCGGCGCGCCTGAACCCGCCCGCCCTGGGGTTTTGGGGTGAACAGGGCTCCTGCAGCCAGGCGGTGGGCAGCCAGCAGCGACGCTGGCTTTTGAATCACCGACCAGCCTTTGTTAACGGGCAATCGCCACAGGGACAACACTAATTTATATAATTTTTTTTTAACTTACAAATGCCCCTATTGTGTCATTCGGTTTTGATCTTTCCCCGCTGGAAGTGATTCCGTAACTCCAGCGCAGCCCACGGAGATTTAGTGACATAACCCAGTGTGGGAACAACCTCCAACTACCAG